CAGAATAAAAGTGAGGGCTTTGCACATCTTCTTTCCTCTTTGGATCCCCTTTTATCTTTGCGTAAATAGGGTTGACAAAATTTCAAAATAAACAAACAGTCATTTTTCCCTTCAATTTTTTTCCCTGCACCCTTCATCCTCCTCTTAACACTTTCCTAAACCTAAATATTTATCATTCTCTTCCTTCCTACAACTTCTATGGTTGTGGCCTAAGTTTGCATCCCCTGTAAATGGTTCTTATCTATTCTCCCACCCTCAGCTGCAACACTTATTACCTGAGTTGTAATCTTTGTTAGGTGATAGCTATCTGAGGACATTTCTTCCAGTTGCTCATCAAAAACTATGAGCTGTTGAGGTAAGCCCTGTGGCATAGTGGTTAAGTTCACTGCACTCTGCTTCGGAGCACAGGTTTACAGATTCAGATCCTGGACTTGGACGTACACCACTCATCAGCCATGCTGTGGCAGTGACACACTTACAAAGTGGAGCAAGACTGGCACAGATATTAGCTCAGGGCTAATCCTTCTCAGCCACATACACACAAGAGTTGTTAATCTCTCTATCAGTTACTTTGATGTGGGGATGATGTTTCCCAGGAAGAGGGTCTTTTTGTACTTTGCTAGAGAAGAGGGTTGTCTAATAACCTGGATTCTCCAGGTTTTATAGGGATTTTACAGGGATTCAGGAGTCTTCAGAGACTTTTTGAACAACCCATTTACCTCCTTATCTTTTCTTTAGATTATCACCTCATAAATATTCTTCCAACTCCAGTCCATCCCTGTAAACCATTAACTCTTTTAGTGGACTTAATGCTTAAATGATCCTTTGTTCTCCTGTAGTTGAGTTGTGGGTGTCATTGCTCCTCAAGTTTACTGGCTGGATTGAAACGAAAATTACTGTTCTGGACCTGCCATGGATCTAGACTCATTATTGGTAAAACCTACCTTACAAGGGAGTTTGCTCTTAGGGAGTTTGGCTGGGGTGTCGGAGCTGGGGTGTCTCCTCCATCTATCACCTACCGAACTCTGGTCACATAACTAAGTCTTTATAGTTTATTTATCATGAACACATTCTTCTCAAGCCTGAAAAACTTAAAAGTAATGCCAAAATTATTTACTACATCACCATTCATGGACTGCCTTTTCATGTTTGGATAGAAAAACGGGCAAGAGCAAAGTGCTCTTTAATCAATACTTTTGCAATAATCAAATTCAAATCCTCTCTGTAATGCTCAATTTTTCAAACCTTTATGTAGCATTCCACACTGCTGACCATGCCTTAATCTTGAATATCTGCCCTCCTTTCCTTTCTATGACACAGTGTCATGGATAACAGGATATTATTGTTCTGCTTTTATCATCTTTTAGAAGCTTTTTTAAAATGGCTATTCTCCACTCTTAATTTTTCACATTTCCCATGGTTCTGTCTACATCTTTCAGTAGACTCAAGCCATCTCCCCCTTATTAACCTCATTAATGTTAATGGCTGCCATTCTATCTTCTTCCGTTACTGATGGGAACCAGGAGAAGGAACACCTGGGACAAAGCTGAAAACTTAGGCAATAAAATAGAGATTGATGCTAACTGGAATGGTATAAGTACTTGAAATTTAAGCTTAAAATTTTAAGACTAATAAATCTCCTTTAAAAATTATTAAAATATAAGAAGTAATGGGAAAGTCTACTCAGGCCGTTTTCCCCATTCCTTGTTCCCTATCTCCCTCCCCAAAAGCAATCACTGCTAGCAATTTACCACGGTTTTATTTGATTTAAACCTAAATGGTATAGTTGTGTTTTTCATTCATCAAAATGTTTTGAGATTTTTCCATGTTAGAACACATAGTTGTCCCTCAGGAATTAGCGTTTAAACACTACTAATTTTTGCGACAGAGTATATAAAAGAAGTCATGCCTGGGATGCCTTTAAGTGCTTGAATTTTGGTGGAGATCTATATGCAGTTTGTCAGAGTGATTCCAAAATTGCAATAATGCTGATAGTGGTAATAGTTCCTGGGTTTTCTAATCTCTAAACATATTGAGTGTTCTCTGTCAGTGAGAGGGTGGCTGTCTTAGACCTTTGTAAACAATGGTCCCAGCACACCATATATGAGTTCATGGTGGTAGTGAGTCTTCATCACTCAGTCTTGAACATCCAAGGAAAATGGCTGAATCATGGAATTAAAAAGTCCTTATATGGTATCTCACCCTGCTCCCTGGTGGTTGGATTTCTTAGATGACAGACTTTATCAATAGGGAATTCTCATTTACAAATTCAACTACCATGAACAGAGACTTGGATATTTTTTCCTTAAGGAATAAGATGATATTTAGCAATAAATTTTTTGAAAATCTGTAAGTCTAATAAGTTAGTTATGAGGATTCAGAGGCAAGGAACCAAGTGTCTTTGGCTATTAGCTACATGATCCAGTATATCAATGGTAGGGGAGGTGAGTGTGATGAAGATGGCTTGTCTGGACAGGGGTACGTATCTGTTCATGGAAGACTAAATTACTATTTCAGGTTTCCTGAAGCTTCTAAGTCCAGAAAGGCCTTTTTTAAGTAGTAATAACCAGAAGCCAAAGACATTTAGGCTGTTAAGTAAAAGCTGAATGTAGTAAATTAGGATAGAGACTTGCAGGTTTTGAGGCTGGCCTAATTAAGTGTCTCCAGAACTATATTAGTTTGGGCTCTCTCTATGTTTATATATGCATGTACACACATACACACAACTAGCACTTTGACTCTGAGGAAATTACTTTCCTTCTCTGGATTTCATTTCTCTAATCTATGTAATGAAGACATCAGGGTATGAAATCTCTAAGATTGCTCCCATGGAAAACCTTTAGTTCCTGAGGAACCTATTGGGCAAAATGTTCTTAGGCTTTCTTTCCTCACAATGTGTGTATCTTATGGAGAAAATGTTATGATTATATTCAGAAGAAAGACATTGTATTGGTAAATCTGTTATCAAATTTTCAAAATTAAATTCACGAAAGCCTCACTGTTAGAATGAGTCATTAACAACTTTAGATTGACTTCTCCTGAGTTTCATGATGGAAAGCCCATCTTTGCCATGTTTTAATGGAAAGATTATTAAATTTAGAATTTAGAAGACTTGAATTTAATCCTCATTGTATGGGTCAGAAAGTCATTCCCTTGAGCAACTTATTTAATATTTATGAATCTCAGTTTCCCTGTGTACAAAATGGACATTATAAAAAATATCTACCTAAAGAGCACTTCATCAAAACTAAATAATATGTCAAAGTGCCTTACACATGCTAGTTGTATTATAATTAAAATAAATCCCATAAAGTCTATAATGTGCTATACACTCTGATTATTACAATATAGGCAAACCAACTCAAATAAATATCTTGTGAGAAAGTCCTTTCTTCCTCTGAATTCTTGTAACACTTCTTTTTACTTTGCCTACAGGACTAATGGATAACATTTAATTTAGTAAATAGTTAATGAACATCTGCAATGCACCAAGAAATATACCAAGTGATTAGGGAGAACAATAATTTTTAGCAAATAAAGAAGACTTCCAAAAAGAGGTAGCATTTGAGAAGGACTTTGAAGGAAGTTTGGAGGTTCCTTGGGGAAAGTGTGTGGTGGGGAAGTTTGAGGTACTGGAAACGGCAAAGGACTTAACTCAGACAAATTACAAAGTCATTGAGGGCAGTGACTGTATGTCCTATTCATCTTTGTGTTGATCCCACTGTTGTACAACCTTCACTTTATACCCATCACAAAACATATAGCATGTCATCCTTAATAAATGAGCCGCATAATTGAGTAGGTGGTGTATCATGCCCTGAGGTGGTTCTCAAACTTTAGTGTGCATCATAATCATCTAGATGGCTTGTTAAAACACAGACAGTTGGGCTTCATACCCACAGTTTAGAATTCCCTGGGTCTAAGACAGAGGTGTGAAAATTTGCATTTCTATAAAGTTCCCAGGTGATGCTGATGCTGCTGATTCTAGGATCACATTTTAAGAACCACTGCTTTAGTGAAATGTATACCTACAGTGCTGCAGCATTCTTGTTTTCCCCTAAGCATCCAGAATACTGCAGAAGAAGTCCAATTCCATTTTGAGGGCAGGAAAGATGGGAGGGGGTATATCCTAATCATCTTTGCACAACTTTTGTCACATTGCAATGACATTCTGCAAATACTAGGGCTCAAAAATGTAATGGATTGAATACTAACTAGAATACCAAATAATCATGTAGCAAATATTAGTAAGTTCCTTATTTAATCAGCCTTTAATAAAAAGGAATGGGTAATTATCATCGCTGATTTAAAAAACGTATAGAGACGATTGTCAAAAAAAACCCAAATGAGTTCATCAAGTCCATCAGCAATCTTTCCTCACGTTTTGCCTTAAATATTTGTGAGTGCAGTGCACCAGAACCAAGTCTGGTGTTGACTTTAGCCTGGATCAATATATATATACATGTCTCTCAAATACAGTACTATTTGATAAGCCAAAGAACTGCATTATATTGTATATGACATATTGAATGGATTACAATACATTATATAATATTATTACCACGTACAGAATAATACAATATTCTGTTTGCCAAGGGCATACAGGAGACTCTGCAGAGCAGGCCAAGAGATTGATTATAGCGATGAAGGGGAGGTGAGGCAGGTTCAGGGTAAAAGAAGTACTATAACTCCCAGGCTGTAAAAACCATCTTATGCTGGAAGAAATGCAACACCAAATTGTAGCAGTCTTTCAATCAAACCAAAGAAAAGCATCAAGAGAGTTCTTCGAACAATCAAAGCTAGAATGATCTTGTTCAGTCAAACCTGTGAACCTGAGAACAATCTTCCCTCCCGCCTCCTGCCGACAAGCGCGTCCTTCGGCTGGGCCTGAGCCCAGGGCCAGACTAGCACCAGACCTTCCTTTCCGCCCGCGGAAGCCTCGAGGCTTTTTCCCGCCAATGCGCGGGGCTCCGTCTCCCGCGGCCCGGGCGCAGGCGGGACTGCGCATGTGCGGGCCCGGCCCGCCGTGAGCTCCCCTGCAGCTCGGGCGACCGCGAGCCATGGCGGAGACGGAAGCGAGCCTGTTGCGCCAGTTCCCGCTGTTTTTGCCCCAGAACCGAGCGAAAACCGTGTATGAAGGATTCATTTCGGCTCAGGTACCCGCCCGGGGCTTGCTCTCCCGCTAGGAGTGCCTCCCTGTCGCGGCGCAGCTCAGCCCCTGGAAGTCTGTGGCCCGAGGGGTTCGGGGCCCGGAACTGTGGGGATTGAGAGGGTGGCGCGTCCGGGCTCCCCGAAGGCTGGAGGTTTGCGGGCTGCTGCCGGTGCTGGAAACACAGCCCTCGTCGCCGGCTCCACGGCTGGGCCGGGGTCGCCGCCTGGTCCGCGCGCGAGGAGGCCCGCGCACGACGTGAGCAGGGGGCGGGGCGGAGGCCACGCCCCCGTCCCCGCCCCCCGTCCCCCTCCCCTCCCCTCCCTGAGTTGCGCCTCTTTCCAAATTCAGCGTCTGCCCCACGTTTAACTTTACTTCTTTTTTGGGGGCAAGTTTTTGCCTGCCTCGATTCCAACACCCTGCATGCCCACGAAGCTTGGTGGCCGTTCACAGGGGGATCCGTGCTGATTGTATTCGTGTTTCCTGTAAAAAGAATGTTTTGCAAGAAAACTCGTTTTGTCTCTCTGCTAAGTCGTGTGTACCTGAGCACCCCCAGTTGCGATATTTTGTAGGCAGTCTTGACGGCAGGATTAATTACCTTTCCTGATTCCAAGTGGCCTCTCTTGTGGAGGGAGTTCCACATAGTAACACACGTGTACGGTTTTGAAGTTTACAAAGCGCTTTGCAAGTACTCTCATTAAATCCTCAACCCTTTGAGGCAGAAATTTAAAAAAAATCATTTGTCACGCTCTAAGGTTGAGTAAATCAAGGCATGGCAAGGTGGAGAGGTTACGTTACTTGTCCATGATCGAAACAAGTCTCTTCAAATCAGGCTGTCTGATTCCACTCCTGGATTTTTCTCGTCTGCGTTGAACCAGGATATCTTAGGTTAGAATTTTGAATATAGATGTCTGTTCCCCATTCCCTCTGACACTCAACATCGTCCCTCCTCCGCCAACAGCACTCATACTTTTTTTTTTTCCTTTTTGTCTTTTAACGTTGTTTATCAAATTCTGCCCAAGGCAGACTGGCGGAACCACACACAAATTAACCATCTGCAACTTGTAACATGGGTCAACAATACGTCAAATTATTAGCGATACTTTCTTTCTGTCTATAAAATGTAACACATGACCATCTAATCAGACTTTGATTTGCTTTGTGAAGTAGGAGAAATTCCTCAGGAGGGAAGAAAAAAGTGTCATTTTTTAAACAATTTAACATAGAAACAGAACTGTATTTTCTGGGAAAGTATGTGTGAACCTTTTATAGACATGCAAATTCTCAATTATTTGAACTCAGTTATCGCACAGAAGCACAAAAAATTATGCAGTTTTGTCACAATAATAAATTTAAAATTTAGTAATTAACCAGATAATTTGAAAAATATCATGGTAATCGATAAAAAGTTTCTATTCTCAGAATTTTCTTATTTTTATTTTCTGAAAGCAGAATGAATAATTGCATTGCTTCACCTTACCTTGATTAACCTTTACCCATTCAACAATCCTCATTTAAACAGTGTCAATACTGAAAGAGGAAAATGGAGGTCAAGTTTAACTCTTACTTATAGTGATTCAGTCAATGGTTTCACCTTTAAAAACATTTGAGTATTGCGTATTTGCAAACTTAATGCTTAGTTTAACTTTAAAGAGAAGCATATTTCATGCTTTTTTTTTGAGGTATAATTGAGTACAACATGTTAATTTTAGGTGTACAACATAATGAATTGGTATTTGTGTAAATTGTCAAATGATCACTAAGTCTAGTTATCATCTGTCACCAATACATAGTTACAGAATTTGTATGTGATAAGAACTTTTAAGATCTACTTTTAATTTGCTTTTAATATCTCTCTTAGCAGCTTTCAAATATGCAGTACAGTATTATTAACTCCAGTTGCCATGCTGTACGTTACGTCCCCATGACTTATTTATTTTATGGCTGGAAATTTGTACCTTTTGTCTCCCTTCACCTGTTTTGCTCGCACCCCACCAGCACACATAACTTTTTGAGGACAGGGGCCATATCCTAGGAATTACTGTATGTTTTGAAGTCTGCTCAAAACAAAATAATCTCTCAAACATATCGACTGAATTATCAAATCTCTTGGTAAGTGAAACTTTTACCCACCTCTAAGAATATTGGGTGTAGAACGAATCAGAATATACTGTGATTTAAGGAAAGGTTATAGACGATACATTTGGACTTCTTCATTTGTATTCAGATTCGTTGTGATCATCACAGAAAGTAGAGGTTAAAATTCATTATTATTTCTGGAATAAAATTAATCCACCTTTTCCTTCCTAATTGGAAGTACTGATCCTGAATTACCTAGTTGAAAACATGAGTCACTTTTAGACCACATTTGAAGAGAGATTACTAAATTACATTTTTATCAGGAACCGTGTTATACCAAATTTTAGGCACTTTAAGGAAAGTACTTTGTATTATGTGTGTATCTGCTAAAGCCTTTTAGAAAATGTGTGTAGCCATCAGAATTGAGATTAGGTGAAATTTTCTTATGACTCTTGGTGTATCCACAATTCTAATTTGTACCTACCTTAAGCAGCTTATTGAATTCTTAACCTAAACAATTTATTTAACATTGTTTTGTTTGGTGGAGCTGATTTTGTCTAAAAATGTTTGTCTTGTATATAATTTCAAACTTAACAGAAAAATAGTGAGTATGTATGAAGAATTTGAGTATACTGTTTACCCAGATTCACCGTTTTACATTCACGCCATTTGACTTATTATTCTGTGTATACAGGTGGGTGTATGCACACAAGTATTTTCCTCAACAGTTTGAGAGTAAGTTGCAGACATAGTGGCCCCTTTATTCATATATACTTCAGTGTATATTTCATGAGAACAAGGACACAGTCATATATCACCTCGGTACATTTATCAAAATCAGGAATTTAATCATGATATAATATCCAATCTGGAGTTCACGTTTTGTTAACGTTGCAATTACATATTCTATACCCCTTCCCAGGCCACTACCGTCTAAGATCTCAGTTACATTTAGTTGTCATGTCTCTTTAATCTAGAATAGTTCCTTAGTCTTTGCTTTTCATGAACTTGACATTTTTTAAGAGTACAAGTTGGTTATTATGTAGAATGTCCCTCAATTTGGGTTTGATAGATGTTTCCTCATTACTAAATTCAGATTATGCAATTTTGGCAGAGATTGCCAGACACAGGTGTCAGGGCACATGACATCAGCAAGTCTCGTTATTGGCAATGTTTCCTCTGATCACCTCTTTAAGGTGGCATCTGCCAGATTTTCCTTTTGTAATAAGTACTTTTAGGGAGCTTTTCTGGGGCATCAAACTTTCACGCACACACACACACACACACACACACACACCCCTTGGTTGTAGCCTCCATTGTTTGAGTCAGTTAATACTGTGATGGTTGCTAAATGATGATTTTCTAACTCGTTTCTAACTCCAATCATTTCTTCTGTTTATTAATTGGCATTCTATAAGGAGTAGCTTTTCCTTTCTCATTTATTTATTTGTATCAGAATGGACTCATGGATTTTAAAAATAATTTATTTAGTGGGTTATAATCATTACTTCCCTTATTTATTTTGATGCTTAATTTGTCCCAGATTTGGCCACTGAGAGCACATTTTTATTGACACAAGTTTTTAAGGCTTTGCATTTTCCTCTCATCGCTATTTTAAAAGTATCTTGTAGATGCTGACATATAGTGTTTTTTCATCATTTTTTTACCACTTAAATAATTTTAGTTTGTATTTCCCCTGCACTCAGGAGTTATTTAATAGAAGATTTAAAAAATTTTCTCATGGAAGGTCTTTTTTCATTTGTAGTTTTGTTAATTTCAAGTTTTATTGCATTGTGACTAGACAGTGTTGTTTGTAAAAATTCTCTGTGGAACTTATCCTTTTTTGTGTGTGTGTGAGTGATCTGTGTGTGATTAAAAGAAGGTGTTTTCTCTATTATCAGGTTATTCCTTTCCTCTTGAGTAAGCTTTGGTAGCTTGTTTCTTTCGAGGAGTTGGTTCATTTCATCTGGGTTTTTGAATTTATTGGCTTAAAAATTATTTATAATATTCCCTTATTATCCTTTTAATATCTTTAGCATCTGTAATGAAACTCTCTATATTGGTTATCCTTTGCTGCATTAATTATTCCAAACCTTAATGACTTTAAAACAATAAAAACTTATCTCACCCTTTCTGTGGATCAGGACTTCGGAAGTAACTTAACTGGATGGTTCTGGATCAGTGTTTCTCATGAACTTGCAATGAAGATGTTGGCCAGGATGTCAGTTATCTAAAGGCTTGACTAGGACTGGAAGATTTGCTTCCAAGATCATTCACTCAAATAGCTATTGGCTGGAGGTCTCAGTTTTTTACTGTTCTTTATAGGAGTCCTCAGTTCGTCACCACATGGACCTGCATAGTGTTGCTTGACTGTCACCACAACATGGCAGCTAGCTTCCCCTGAGTGAGTGATACAACAGAGAGATCAAGCAGAACACTGCACAGTGCCTTTTTTCCCATCACTTCTGAAGTTACACTTATTTACTTCTGCCTTATTCTGTTTGTTAGAAGCAAGTCTCAAGTCCAGTCCGTGTTCAGAAGGAGAGGTGAGGCAATGACTCTTAAAGGTAGAAGTATCAAAGAAATTGTGGACATATTTTATAGATGCTTCCAAATCCCCATTCCTGTTATTGATATTTTGTGTCATCTTTGTTTTTTTTTCCTGATGCATCTGGGTAGAGGCTTCTAAATTTTATTGATTTTCTTAAAGAACCTACTTTTGATTTTGTTGATTTTTCTCAATTATTGTTTTTCTGTTTCATTAATTTCTGATGTTAAGTTTCCATGGTTTTTCAGTGGAAGATTAGGTAATTGATAATGACATCTTCTTTTATACAGTAAATGTTTAGTGCTATAAATTTGCCTTCAAACACTGCTTTAGCTGTATCACACAAATTTTGGAATGTTGTATTTTAGTTTTTTTTTTCA